TCTTTCCTATGCCTAACCACAGCTGCAGGGCAGAGCAAGCTTTCAGAAAATTTTGAGTCAGCTGTACTCTTTGGGAATATGAGCCTTGCATCTTCTTTCCTAATGGGCTTAAGAGAACACTAAAAAAGGTGCTGGGTAGGAGAAACCGCTTGTCAACAGTCTGACAGCGGAGGCAAACTTTGAGCCGCTATAAAGCCAAAAGGGGAAAGGGTGAGTCCCAGCCTCAACGCTGGTGCTACCCACCCAAGTAAGTGCAGTCATGCGATAGCTGCCACCTGTCTGCTGTACATGCAGAATTTAAACATTAAGGAGTCAATTTCCTTCCTAAAAGATAATTTTGCGCGAGTCTTACAGCAATAGGCAGGTGTCACTAAGAAAGTGCTTAGAGGAAGAACTATAAAGATTGTGACAATCCTGCGCTGCATCCCCTTTTGTACTAGCATTCTATGTACTAGCACGAGAATGGGTATCGACGCACTGCTACTAAACTGCCAGATCAGACAGGGCTCTCACATTTCTAAGCCATGTCATCCAGGTGTGATCAAAACTAGAGATTATACTCATCCCATCGCAACAGATTTTCTGTTGCCAGGCAGCACTGAAATAAGGTGCTGGAGTTTGTCAGTGTTTATTTTAAGTATCAGTTGTTTGTTGAAATAAGAGATGACTTTTTTTTTTCCTGTTAAGTTAGGAAGGAATGTTTCCTCTGGCAATGACGACAGCAGGTTGTTCAGACCCTCAGCTCCTCTCTGCAGCACCCTTACATTCCTGTGCTTGCTTATAGTCTCAGCAAATCTCAAGCTTTGTTTAAGGCTTCCTATACAAAGGGAACAATTTTGAATGCTGAGAGGGCAGCACAGGTGATGGTAAGAGAAGAACATACCTTATGCTAAAGGAATCAGTAGGAACAAGAGGAGGAAGCTGAAACTAGTCTACATGTGATTAGCGACACTACATACATTGGTATAACATTTTTCATGCAGGAAAATGAGTTGTACGCATGTAAAAGGAAGTAGTCAAGGATTTTCTTGCTGGCCATTAGATCTTTGCTACCTTAGCCATGCAAGAAACGCCGAAACTGTCACTTGTTCTTTCAGTCCTTGGCTAGAGCAAATCCAGTCTCTCTCAGCAGATGGGCAGAAAGTGAAGACTGGTCAACTCAGGAGAGAAAGAATGCATCATATGCAAAATTCTGGAACTAGTTACGATCCAAGGTGGACACCTACCCAGGCCTGCGTACGTATTCCTGTTATTACAAGAGCAGCATATTTCTCAAAAGGATAACAACCTAATTTCAGAATAAACTTATCAAGTGACCATCAGTAGTAGAAGGAAGCTAACATGGGCAAAGCTTTATCTGTTAAAGCAACTTAAATATCAGAGTCTTGTAGGGGGGTAAGTTAGAGGGGAGAGGAGAAGTGTTGCTATGCATTTACACATGCACTCATAAGAAGGTACTTGTGCTGGTTTTGCTGACGTGTAGCATGCTGAAAAGGAAGTGTTAACAAATTCTGACAGCAGAAATGTACAATTGCTAAAGATCTTCAAGCTTTAGATTGCAACATGCCCTACTGCATTAGTAGGGAAGCTCACCAATTCTAAGTTCAGCAGTCATGGAATAGCATATATACAAAAAAGTTACCTGTAAACCACAGCAGCCCACTGCATTCATTATTGAAGCATTATGAACGACCCTGTATGGAATCCCCAGTTTTACTGCACGTAGTACTAAATCACTGTGCGTCGTGGCTCTGTGGTAAGAAGGTAAAGGGGTTAAAGACTGAACATATACAGTAGGCGAGCATTACTAGCACTGCAGTTTGCTTTGAAAGCAAAATCAAACCCTTCACAAATAAGGCAATGCAGAGGTGTCAAAAAGGCAACAATAACTTGACTTATTTTTATGGGAAAGTAAAAACTGCAACAGAACTCCCCTATTTTGTTTTCCCCAGCTGAAAATACAGGCAGCCTCAGTGTGCTACTGTTCTTTGCAGCTTTCTGGTGTCATTAAAACTGCAACACTAGCACACTTGTTACTTTTCAAAGTAACTTCGGCAAATATTTGAAAAGGAAAATTCCATTTGTCCTTTGTCTTCTGCAGGTGTCTGCTGGACATCTGTTGAATTGTAAATATGAGCACTACTTGGCATATACTTCAGCAAAACTCTAGTACTAATTTCCTTATGCACTGCATAGACAGGCCTTCTCTCATCTGTGCCAGTGCATGCTAGGAAAGCAACACTCAAACAAGCAGAACTTTGAACAGATTGAGGCGAGCTGTGTGCAGTACTTGGAGAAGCCATCCTTAAAGTAAATCAACTCTTAAAATAGTTAAGCCAAAATTACTCAAAATAACAATGCCTAGATTTGTTGAGGGAATAAGTTTATTCAAAAGTAATTACGAACGGTTCTAGTTAAGTTTATAAATAAGCTCAGTTTGGCTCCAGGTATCTAATACTCAAACATCTTGCAATGACTGGAGCAAGAATCACTGTACTTGCAGTTAACAAGATTTGGGTCAGAATCCTTTTAAGATGGCAAGTAAACATAGATCCAGCGTAGTCTATCTTGGAACAGTAGCAATTTTGAAATGTTTATCTTGCTTGCAAACAATTCAGATAAGTGTTAGGAATTACATTTTTCCACATGAAATATGGAAATGTACCTACCCCTCACCTGAATTTATCAAATCTAAACAACAGCTTTAGTCATGTCCTTTTCCCCACAGTCCTGGCCATAACAGAGAAGGAAGCAGAGAAAGAAATAGCATACGCAGATCAGAGTAATTAAATAGGAAGAGTGCATTCACCCTGGCCAGGTTCAGTTCCCATACAAAATTCCCTTGATCTTTGGCCTGATAATTTCCACCCTGCACGTCTGACTAGCACCATTCAGCAGATCAGGTGCTTCAGATAGTAACACAAACGTGGCAGCAGCTGGCAGGATTGTAAGGATGAATCATTAAAAGATCAGTTTCACTGGAAAAGCCAAATAGAGGAATCTGAGAAATCCGGGACCTGATAAAAAACAGACTCCCAGATCCAGTAGACCTCCGTAAGGTTATCTAAAACAAAACTCCCATTAGTAAATAAAATATGCTCCTGACTTCCATAAGCAAAGGTGATTTAAGAATGCTTGCTGCAAGAGACATGGGGGCTAGTTTTAGTGCCTTATATTATTCCCTTCACACACACAGGACAAGGGGCACTGGAAGATGTTGTGGTTATGCTAATGCTGACCAAGGGATCAGCTGGCTTTATTCACTGAAATTTGCTTCAGCCAGTATTTTTTCCCTAGCAGAAGAGCCCTCAGCCAATACTAACAAAAGGCCTGATGGAGTTAGCCCTCTGTACCCAGGGCTATGCTAATATTTTCTGTCACTGAGATAGCATTCAAGAAGTTTCAGGGGTAGTAAAAACATGAATATTAGCACAGGCTAGATGAAAGTGGGTTTTCTGGTATGATACTAAAATTATTAGGTTCCTGATAGCACAACTACAGTTGTTACCACATCTCCAGAGGAAACATTTGCAGTGAACAACAGTGAGGAGAACTACACCATGGGCATTGCTAGTTTCTTCACCTTAATCATTAGCCACAGACAGCTGAGATTTTCTAAAGATTCAGCCAAATCCTCTTTTACATGCAAACATACTTGAAATCAACTGCAGTTACATGGTTTCTGTCCACTTCCCATGCAGCTTCTCTTAGGACAGAAGCATTCAGTCCTCTTTCTTAGAAATTTCATGACCCCCTAAATCCATAGGGCTCTACACAGAGATAAGAACAGTTCTAGCTGCAATTTTAAGAGCTAAGAACATAAATATTTAGATAGTATCAACTCATTATAAAAAAGGGTAGTTTTCTACAATGCTGAAGTATGCTAGTTATCAAAATTGAAGTATTTAGTCACTGAAACCATTGGTGTGCGAGGCAGAATGAAGATACTGCTTACAAGAAGAAATTACATCTCCATAGATTGAGTTCTTGCTTTGTTTTGTTTAGCCTTCTATGTTTACTTATATCAGTCCCTGGATCATAACACAAGAGTATAGGTAATGTAGCTCTACATGAATGCTAATTCTAACATTAACATGCATTGAAAGAATAATTAATATTTCTGAAATATAGCATCATCTGCCCCTCAGTACTAGCTTAATGTAAGATTCTCTTGGCAATTCCCTTCATCCTGTATTTACATAAATTATCCACTTTTGACAGACGCGCACACTGCTCCTCTTTTTCATAGACTCTCTATTTTCTCCTCCCACAAATAGAGTGCTCAGTGATTTGATTTTTCTTGTGGTACCCTTAACACTGTGGTATAAATCATGAATCACCAGCTGGAGACTAAAAGCTCTTCTGTATGGCTTGGCATTACAGATTGATGACGCCCGACTGAGAAGACAGAAAGAGATCCTTCTGGTGATTAAGAAAACAAAACAAACAAACAACAACAAAAAAAAACTATACCTTCCAGAGGCTTAATAAACCAAACTAAGACACTTATAGTGACCTAAGTGACATCAAGACTAGCATATATCAAAGCAGAAGCACCCTGCAATGAAGAATCAGCATTCATTCTAAAACAACTGAGAATAAAAGCCACAGTTTATAAATACAAATCACAACTAAAAGAATACACTCTCAGAACATATTGCTTTTCTTGATTATGCCATAGCCTAGAATTTTTGGTTAGCAAAAAGCCCTGGAACAACATGTTCTCTGTGAAGGCCAGCATGGAGAATGAAATGATAGTAAATCACTGCTGAAGAGGAGATTTATACATCCCCGAGCTCCACATTCCTATCTATAAGGGACGTCTGGGTGAGGAAACTGCAAAGCAAGATGAAAAGTAGGGAATTGTACATATATCTTGTATGATATAAAAGCGTTCTGAAAAAAAAAAAAAAGCAAGCTTCACAGCTCCATTTTACTAGATAAATAAACAAAAAGTGACCAGGCTAGAGCAATAATTAAAACGTTGCATCATCTTACCCAAAGGGATCACCAACCACAAGAAAAGCAACGTCACAAACACCAGCTTCTTTTAAAATGCTATCTGCTTCTTGTTCCACTGTTTCTCGATCAGCCAAAATCAATTCTTTTCCATAAAACTCTTCCTAGAAAGTGAAATTAAAAAGAAAAACCAAAATAAGACATTTGGGATTGTTCTCATCTCTCTGTGTTCAATACAGGAACACCGATCACATATGCGGGAAGGGCCAGATCAATTATATCTCCAGCCATTTGACCCATGTGTTAGAAAACCCTATCTCCTCCTGCAAGAACATCTGAGCTTCCCATCAGGCAGCTCCTGAGTTGACAAATATTACTGCCAGTCATATTATTACATCAGTTTGACTTTCTTTATGCCATTTCCATCAGTTCACGAGCTGCTGCACAAGTAACCTGTTTACACCCACAGGCTGAAGGTCCTTGGGTGGCCACTAGGCATAGCAATGTGGCCAGTCATCCCATTGAAAGTCATCTCCCACTCAAGTCAGAGCCTAACTACTTAGGCTAATTATAATACTAACATCATACCTGACACAAACAGGACACTAGCTATTATTATAACCCAGTTTTCCAGCTTTTATTTTTCCTTAGTATGTTGTAACTAACCACATCTAAGGAGTAAGTTCATATCAGTCCTTCACCTTTCAGTAAGGAATAACGTACCATGTTTGCAGGTAAACACATTTGACTGTCCTTCAAACACTTCCCTTCAGCAGCTGAAGTAATCATGAGATCTCTTTGCATGTTTTAAATGTATTTGCAGAATACAACCTCAGATGTGTAATAGAACTTCACTTAGTTCTAAGAACATGCTTACTGATTATTTCAAACATCTCTGTCTCTGTAAGTCAAGTTTCACCATACATTCCACATGCTGTTTACATGATTAGATAAAAAGTTTTTTCCAGGGCATGGACCAAAATCAGCGTTTTTGTTCTGATAATATTCAGCACACTTGCATGGTAATACAAATACTTACCAGCTGTTAAAACTGGTAAGCTACGTATGGTCCAAAAAGGCTTTCCTCTGACTTTTCTTTTGAGTTCAGTGGTAAATTTGTCTTTGCCTACAAAGAACAGTGAATTGACAAGAAAACTACCATAATTGTACAGAAGAGAAGTGGGGCTTCCATAAGAAAAAGTACATCCAAAAGCTAGAGTACTAGGCATGGGACCTCAGACATTGGGTTTGGTTGCCTCTTCTAAAGATGACCTCCTCACTTATTTTTGGATAAGTTTCGCTGCCTCTATAAAACGAGGGTACTATTCTCCTTGTGAAATAACTTGCAACCTGTTCAAGTCCTATAGAAAGGGTACCAAAGACATACATAAACAAATCTGATACCAGTGATTCAGAATGGTTAACACTACCCTGGAGTACTGCTGAGGTCTATACTATTATTAAGAGACAAGAATTAATTTTGACACCCTACTTGTTTTTCTTAAGTGTCTTACACTACATGCACATTAGCCAGTAGTGGAGAACAACAGGAACGGATCTGTAAAGCAAAACAGTTGATGCTAAGAATCCAGTAACAATGATATATACATTTTAGTATATACTTTAGTTTACCACCAGAGCAGACTAACTCTAGTCCAGTACTGTCAATGAATGCTCTTTAGAAGCTGGAGCGCATTCCCAGTGCACACCTCTCAGTTTATTTCTATCCAAAGGAATGCATTTGCATGCTGTGAGACTGCTCCACAACGCAAACCAAGACACATTAATGTGAGATTATTAAAAGCGTTCTCCTGATCTAACCTAAAAACGTAGGCTGATTAGGAGGTCACTAGGTCCAAACAGTTCTTTCACCAAATTGAGGGTGATTTAGACGGTCAGCTTTGAATAGCTTTGAATACATGTTTAGATAGGCCAACAAAAATACACTAAGCAAGTCATGTCATTTGAATTTTGAGATTTGAATTTAAAAGCATCAGCAAAGGAAGGTTTCCAGAAATTTCCTGCAGACAAAAGTACCTATTCCATCTTTTAAGAGCCTTCCCATAACTTTTAATGTTGCTCAGGAGACTGACTTTCAGATTACCAAAAAATCCATTCAGCAGTGTCACTGGTATCTGAAGTGGCCTGTAATATCGACACCTGGTGATTAATTCCTATATTCCCTCCTAGTGTTCCCTCCCTACAGTAAGACAGTATGTTTTACTTTGTTTTTATTGCTTACGTTCCTATTTCATCTCTGGAAGTCAGGGTTTCCAAAAGACTAAGTAATATATATATATTTTACTCAAAGGTTTGTTTTCAGCTGCCTAGAAGCCTTCTACTAAAAGTCTCCTTGATAGAAAAATGCAGGTTTTGCAAAGCAAAAATATTCAAAGAATCAGTTCTATTTTGCCAGCTTTCTAGCTATTCAACAACAAAAAAAATTGTCATGAACAGATTCATTCCAACTCAGGCTGCTTCAATGTATTGAGTTAAACAGAAGTAGACAGAGTGTATCTACATTGTAAAATACAGTAGATATACCAGAAACGGCACCAAATTTTCTAGCCTAGCAGTGTCTGGTAACAACATAAGGCTGACTCCAACCTAAAAAGCTCACATTACTATATGTACATACAGCTATGCCTACACACACATGAAGCATTATAGCTATACTGCTTCCAAGAGCCAGCTAACTACACAGCTTATATGGAGCAGGGACCTCTGTTCTGTGGGTAGTTAAGCCTCCTTTTTTGGTAATGTTTCAACATTATCTTTCTGTGACCAGCAGACCCATGAAAACTGTAATTTTTTTTTTTTTTTTAAAAAACACCTAGTGTCATCTTCCACAAAGCACATTTACTGACAGAAACTCATCTCCATGTCATTACACAGCCCACCTCAGACCAAACTGCATAATCTGTTCTGGGAGATTCAGCATGGTGAGACTGCCTGGCCCACACAGAAACATGAAAATCTAAGGTGCTCAAATGATTATCCCCAGCAGACATCCTAACAGCTCAGGCAAATACACAAGCTCAAGGCACCAAAACAAGAATTTATTTTTTAATCAAATCTGACATTTTTCTAAGTAGGTTCTTCAATATTTCAGGCTACTCTTATCCTGTTAGAATTTGAAACAAAAGCAAGCATCAAAATACGAATGCTACTTGCAGGAAGGAAAGTTTTGTTTTTGTTCCAGTCTTTTCACAAGGTAGGAAAACATACATCCCTATAAAACATAGCATGTAAAGGTCACATATGCTCTCCTTATAAGGACACACACTACTTTTTTTTTCCCTGTTGAAGTTACCGACCTACCACACTCAGTACCCTCCTTAATACTGCCCGTGGGGTACCTTAGAGCTTTGTGAGACAGCAGGGGCCAAACCTACCAGCACTTCCTTCCCTACAGTGAGGATGGACGTGTAGGCCTCTAGGTACACCCTGCGGCACTGCCTCACCACCTCCAGACCTTTCACCGTGATGTCCTTCGCATCTCCCAAGCCCAGTCCGACCAGGTACAGCATGTTAAGGCGAGGGCGTCAGAGGTGCCAGGACCTGCTGCCAGCGCCGCCACCTACCGCGGGAGGGAAACGGACA